ACCCCCCTCTCCCCTCCTTGCCGGAATAGAATATACTGATCACCAGCTGCAGCTAGTGCTGGATTTCAAAGGTAGCAAAAGGAGCCCCCTTTTTACAAAAAAATGTAATCATTTTAAAATTAGTTTTATTATTAAATAAATTAACAAAGTGTGTGTGGGCGTCAGGATGTGGAACAGTTAAGCCAGACTTCAGTGGCAAAGAAAGGGATGAGGGCTTCTGTGATATATGACAAATACCTTTGTAATTTGTATTCTTACTGTCAATAAAATTGAGGAACAAAATCAGAATCTAACTTATATTTTTTGAGAAGACATGCGGTTTATCATTCATTTCAGTTCACTTTTTTATTCGTCATATAATTTATTTTCTGTGTTGAGGGGCCCCCGAACTTGAAGTGCCCCGGGCCTCCCAAGGTCTAAATTCAGCACTGGCTGCAGCTACTGATTGAGAAAAATTTTCCAACGACTTCAGTGATCAGGCAATCAGGGATTGCCACATACTGATGAAAATTCGGCCGGTCCCTGCTGAACTGACCAGATTTTGATCAGTGTATTGCCAGCTTCAGTCCCTTGTATCCCCAGGACAGGAAGTTTAAGAGAAATCTCCCTAACAGGACATAGAAAAACAAATGAGTCTTGACTAATCTAATCAAAACTAAAAGCTTTGGCTTTACTTACATTTTAACTACAATGTAAAGTCTGTTGTAATGTATGAAAACTTTCAGACTTTTTTTTAAGTAAGATCATACAAAAAGTAGTAACTATGTCAAGAAAGCAGGCAATCAGAATTGATCCCTTACTGATCTGACATCACAGTAAACCAAATTGTGACAGTTTTCTGTTGTTTACTGCACTTTGAGGTTGATTTGCTAAAGGCAAATAGACTGTTCACATTGCAAGGGAAGTTGGACTTTGGAAGGGAATTTGCCCCAGAGCTTAGTGAATGAAGTGAGGCTCTGTTAACTTCCATCATCCAATCATGTGCAAGCAAAAATGTTGAATTTTATTTTCCTTGAAACATTCACTAAGCTGTGGGGCAAATTCTCTTGCAAAATATAACTTCCCCTACTAAATTAACAAGCTATTTGGCTTTAGCAAATCAACCCCTTTGTGTTTAGCTGTTGCAATTTGCAAAGTTTTGTTACATACGTATTTTGCAGTAATGTTAATCCCCATGACAAACATTTGCAGTTCCCATGATCATCCAATGTAACTGTATAGGTTAGTTACTAAATGTTACTAACCTATACTTCTACAGCCTCTGTCAGTTTATATCCAAGGTCTATATTGTGATCTTTTTCTTGCAAAAGATACAGGTGTATGCTGAGAAAAAAAAAGTTTTTATAGTTTTTTTTAATAAAGAGTCTCCTATTTGACACCTAATCACCCTAGCTAACTCCAATCTGTCCAATAAGTGTCCTTCATTGACCTTGGATACATATAATCAAGTTTAGTGTTGGATGATTTTGCATGGCTGTATTGTACTGTTTGGAAAACATGATAGGCCCAGATCACCCATGTAAAACTGAAAATGCACATATTTCCACAAACATACATTGAAGTAGTGTAGGAAAACCTCAATAAGAACTGTCCCCATATGTTTAAAGATAAAATTACTAATATATGTAATTTAATTCTGAATCATTCAGAGATTCCTTTGAGAAGTTCTTTGACCTGTCATGTTTTCCAGTGAATACTCATTCCTTTCAGTAACGCAGATTGATAGGTAGTTGTTGATGACTCATGGAGAGTTCTGATGACTCAGCAAGAGTTCAGATTGAAAAATGAATTGCCCAATAAAAAATAGCATGGAATAAATACAATATAAAGATTTTAAAAAATGTTTTCCTTAAGAGATAGGAGTTGATTAACTAAAGACAAATAGAATGTTCACTTTGCAAAGAAATGTTCATTTAGTTTAGGGAATGAAGTGAAGCTCACTGACTTCCATAATCCAATTATGTGCAAGCAAAATAATGTTTTTTAATTTTCTTGCATGTGATTGAGTAGTCTTTGCAGAATTAAATGTTGTCATATTCACTAAACTAAGGGAAAGCTCGCTTGCAAAGAGAGCAGCCTATATGCCATTAGTAAATCAGCCCCATAATGTTTGGATACGAGGAAAAAAATGCCTACATTTCCGAACATTAGACTCTTTTGCCAGTAGTATTTATCTACTGCGAGATCTGAGAAACACACAATATATTCACATTGTGAAAAACATAGGGGTTGATTTACTTAAACTGAAGAGTGCAAAATCTGGTGCAACTCTACACAAAAACCAATCAGCTTCCAGGTTTTTTGTCATTGCTTAACTTAACAAGCTGAAGTTAAAAGCTGATTGGCTACCGTGCACAGCTGCACCAGATTTTGCACTCTTCATTATACTAGCAAAATTAAATATATTTGGAACTTAAAATGCATTGAGGGTGATAGGGATGTGCAAGTCAGTCCTCCCTAATCCAGTTCTGAAGTGGGTCATGTGAATTCACTGGAGCCACAATATCCAGAATCTGCCTGTTCAGCACAGTTGCTTGTTACATAGATGGTAATAGGGTCCTTGGGACAACTTACCAGTTCAGAAATATTTCAATATCCACCATCCTCTCTGTATTAATTATTATGATAATTTGCATAAACCTATAGTTGTGCTTTGACAACAGTAACATAATTCTGCATATTAGTCTTTCACTACATCAGCAAATATGCCATTGGTGACAAAGTACACCTAAAATGCTGTCAACTGAGACACCTCAATGATTACATGGAACCTATTTGTTAGTTTAATTTATGACTAGGGCAAAGGCTGTCCAGTTGTGAAAGTGAAACAGTAAAGGGTCTGCGCAATATTGACTTGTTTCTTAGTATTGGTATTGGAATTTAAACCAGTTAAATTGTTTTACATGCCATTATAAACTTAAATTCAGTAAAATGCATTCTTGTTATCAGTGTCTGTTTATTTAAGATACTTCTCTAGAGGGACATTTAAGCACATCTTTATTTTCAGTAGAACTATAGGCAAAACATTTTTTCATTTTGGCTAGAATAAGGGAGTGCTATAGCCCCTGTCAATTTTTTTACATCTGTGTCCCATTGGGGAAATTTACCTTCACTCCCCATAGCTAAAACAGAAATAAGAGGAAATCCCTGCAAATTAAGGGAATCCATTGGGCTCCCCCCCCACCCCCAAGGTCACCAGAACTAGTGTCTCCTTTGGAAGATTTCCCCTTTATCACTGTTCTAGGGACAGCTCAAAATATGGGATTTTTCTTTAACTTTCTCTTTTGATAACAGGAAACAGAATAAAAAGAGAGGGTGAATTTCTCTAATAGTGGGCAAAGACAGCAATAAAAACCATGTAAGCCATCTCCACTCTATACAAAACTTTAGAAAAGTTTTACATTTAGTTATACTTTAAATTAAACATGAAAAGGTACAAGTCGAGTGATCTGGTAAATGATTACACACTATGGGGTTGATTTACTAAAACTGGAGAGTGCAAAATCTGGTGCAGCTCTGCATAGAAACCAATCAGTTTCCAGGTTTTATTACCAAAGCTTAATTGAACAAGGTGAAGTTAGAAGCTGATTGGTTACCATGTACAGCTGCACCAGATTTTGCACTCTCCAGTTTTAGTAAATCAATCCCTGTGAGTATTTGTATTTGGTCTGTGTGCAGCGTGTTCATATGCTGGAATATGTTAGGTCCCATTGGTTTAGATAAAATTCTTGACTGTTATTTTTCATAAATCAGAAGACTGTCTTTAACAGAGAAGTAGCAAATCTGGAAATATTTTCTTTAGCAGACCGTGTTAGGCAGTACTATTGGTGCGTAATGATATATAAGTGAACAGAGCTTTTCCTGTCCTTTGGGGTTGAGGATATACAGATATAATTTAGAGCTTGGCTGTAAACAGCAGATTTATATTTGTTTAGAAAGAGAAATATTCCACCAGAGATAAGCTTGGTGACATGTTGCTTTGCAGAACAATGATGTCTGGGAGTTGGATTTATGGTCGTTATCTAAGAGAATAATCCACAAATAGTGATGATAATATTTATGGAACCATTCAAATACCCAGGGACAGACTTCTAAATTACAAACAGCAGCCTAAAAAGAGCAGAGTCTTTGCTGTCCTTGCATAGGCTTCACAACCAGTGCCCTGAATAGCTATATACATACAGTGAATTTATTTCTTAAGGACCAGGCTGATTTGATCCCAGGACAAGGAAGGATTAATCAGCGATGAAAAGGTTAGTATGGATTTGAATGATAACTTAGATTGGGATTAAGGTTAAAAAGTGTGTTGAAGGTAGGATTTGTATAGGCGAGTTAAGATTTTCATGTGGATATGTTTAACCAGACCGACAATGCTGCAAAAGCAGTTCTCATTTACAGCAACATTATCATCTGCTCCCTGCAGCATCTCCCCACCAAAAAAACCACACCAGAATTATAGAGTTTTAATGTAGAGGAAGCTCCAACAATATCTCCAATATATCAAAAGTGTAGGATTGTACACTGACAGTGCCCCCAACGAGCCCTACAAGAAGGGATAACAATGAGTAGGTTGAGCACCTACGTGTTTGCATTACAATCTGGCACAAAAAAGCCTTGCCTTTAGTTACACTTTAAGGGATCAAGAGTTAAAATTTTTTCTTTTAGATAAAAGATATCTCCTAATCTTGCAAATAGGATCCATAGATGTGGTATATTGGCTTTAATTGCCAAGATCTCAATGCTAGGTAGTTCATGTAATGGCAATGCTTATGTATACATATCAGTGAACTACTTGGATAGCCCTATTCCGATGTCTGTACTGTTACTAATAATTTTGAGAATAAATACCATTTTTTTCCATTTTGGATAGGGTGGAGAGGGAATAGAACTTGCCAGTTTCTATTTTTGTCTGTCTCTACATTAGGGAGATCCACACTTTATTTGTCCTGTTTACTGTTATCACTGGAGCCGAGAGTGAAAGAAAATCATAAAATTTGGGTTGTCACAAGAATAGGAAAATGGTGATAATCTTCCAATGAGAACAATAGATCTGGTGAGAACTGGGGATTTCCTCACTTTGTATTTCAATGGTTTTTATTCATTTATAATATATTCATTATTTTCAAGAAAACGTGAACAACAAGACACGCCCATGCAGGGGCTATCAATTGCACATAAAAAGTAGAGAAAACAGTGCTCTAACACCAACAGAGCAAAAGGTGCGCCCACACAGGGCTATCAATGGCACATAGATTACAAAATGAGTGATATAACACTGACAGTAGCTCAAAGGCAGCTATCCACCGCCTCACAAAAGACAAACAAAAATAGAAAGGAAAGAGGCGTAGAAAAGGAAGAAGAAAACAAGACCAGGGCAGGGGTCTGGGAACGCCAATACCGAACAACATCACAGCCCAAGACTAGCCGGGGGGAGCATGGGAAAAGCATATGTCCACTACGGCTCCCATATTTTCAAAAATTTCCGTTGGGTGTCATTACAGATACTTGACATCTGTTCATTGAGCATCAGAGTGGTCATACGGTCCGACTTCCTCACTTTGGAGAGATTTCCTCTCTCTTTCTGTTTTGGCTATGAGACAGGAAGTGAAGTCTCCCCTATGGGACACAGATGGCAAAAAAAAAAACACAGAAATTAAAATTTCCTTACTCTAAAGAAAATGAAAAAAAGATTTTGCCTTTAGTCCTAATTTAAAATAATAGAATATTCACTGGATCAACAATCTATAGTGTTATTTTTTATAAATATTAATAGCCACTAATTAATTTTGTGTTTATCACAGTGCTGAGTCACACGCCAACAGCAATTTATTTCTATTAATATTACCTGAACTGAATTCTTCGACTTAGCAGTTGTAGCAGGATACCTACATGAGGTTGACTTGTATATTAATAAATTGTATTACCTAAAACTTGTACTAATTATGAATCTGTGTATTATATTTTCCCTTTGATGGTGAAAATAAAGAAATACAAAAAAGAGACATCCTTTCCGTTTTGAAACTGTTTATTGTAGTTTCCCTTTGATGGTAAAAAAAAAAAGAAAGAAAAGAAAATTTACATCCAACCTGTTTTGAAGCAATGTACAGATTGGGCTAGAACCAGCTTCTGTAGGAGTCTGATTCACATTTTCACAGCTCCTATTATTAAGAAGTTTTTTTTATATACCAAGGTTAAATGTCTTTTCCTCCAAGAACAACAATTCCCCCCTTGTCATTTGCAGTACCCTTACAGTGAACAACTTTGCACCAAGTTTATTATATGGAACATTTTTGATTTATGCAAAAAGATCTGTCTTCTCAGTCTTCCCCTTAGTCTTCTCTTCTCACAAGAGAATAAATTCAGTTCAAGTAATCTTTTCCTATAGCTGAGATCAGGGGCGGACTGACAACTCATGGGGCCCCCGGGCAATAGGGGATCATGGGGCCCCTGTGTCCTTGCCCACACTCAAAAAAGCCTATAAAAAAGGTACCAGGGGCATCTCATGGGGCCCCCTACTGACCCCGGGCCCTCGGGCAGTGCCCGAGTGCTCGACTGGTCAGTCCGCCCCTGGCTGAGATCTTCAATGCCCCTTAATCATTTATTGGCCTTTTTCTGCACTCCAATTCCATAACATTCCTTTTGAAAACTGGTGCCCAAAAAGATCTGTCACATGAAAAAAAAAACAAGTACATCCCTACATTTAACCATAAAATAATTTTTGCACTGAGTGAACTCCTGGATGCTGCACGCTGGCAGTTGGAATACACAATCATAGAGCAATACCTATATACACGCTGGTGTGCTTCCTTCAGATGTCAAATAAATAAATAACTGTGCATAGTGACCACAATACACTGATTGTGAATAAATATTAAATAAATATATACAAAAATGTGACGCAATTAAAATACTCAAACATAATATCTTATATATGTGCAGACAAATGCATGTCACACAACACACAAAAAAGATGCATGTCAGCGACTATAACACACTTAAAGTGAATGAATATTAAATAAATATGTATAAAAATGTGAAACAATAAAAATACTCAATCCATAATATCATATGTATGTGCAAACAAATGCATGTCACACAATGCATGAAAAAGGGGAAATACAAAAGTCCATGAGGTTGATCCAGACTTTAAGACCCAGTGAGCAGGGAGTTCAAATCTAAACATCAGGACACAGTGAGCAGAAAGTGTTTCGCACAATAGTTCCCCCAGTACACAAACATTCTGCCTCTTACCAAAAGATTTTGATCTCTAGTTACGGAGATCAAAAAGCACTCGATGTCCGTATGCCTTTAAGAGCTTCTCCTGCGATCCAATGCGGTTCTCTGCTGTTCCAACCAAACACTTAGGGGTTAATGGATCATGGAACCATGCATATATCCACAAAGGAAGACAAAGGAGTTAGCATAGTGTAAAACCACCAAACGGGTTTGTCAAAGATAAAGTTGCTTGGCCATAGTGACAGTAGACATGTTTGGCACAAACAGAACACAGCATTTCAGGAGAAGAATATCATGCCAACTGTGAAGCATAGTGGTGGAAATGTTATGGTTTGGGGTTGTTTTGCTAATTTAGGGTCTGGACAGCTTGTAGTCAATGAGTCAACTACAAAAATGCTTAATGAAAGTGTGAGGCCATCTCTCTGAAATTTAAAGCTAAAAAAAAATGGATTTTTTTTTAACACAACAGTGATCCAAACGCTAGCAAATCCACCAAGGAATGGTGCTCAAAAAAGAATTGAAGGGTTATGAAGCTGCCTAGTCAAAGCCTTGATTTGAATTAAATTGACATGTTGTGGTAGATTTCACACAGGCAGTTCATACAAGCCAACAAGAAACCAAAAACAACTTGCAGCTGGGGGAACTTTGCAAGCATGGTCAGAAATGTAACTGTGTCAGTGTATTATAATGGTGCAGTTATGCAAAATGCCTCAAAGTAGAAATTTCTGCTAAAGAGGGCAAAAACAGCTTCTACGGCCAAGGGTGTATTTACTTATTCCAGAGTACACCATTACACCCTTACATCTATTGATGTTTGTTGAATAAATTATTAAAAAAGCAAATTTTTCGTGTGTTTTCATTTAAGACATTTAGCTGTTGGCACTGGTTGAATGTGAATCTAATGTTTGCCTGATTATTAAAATAAACTGATTACATTAGGTGTACTTTTTGACTTTATATGACCATGTTAGCATATACAAGCTGCTATGGGAGGTCCAATGATGGGGCACTATTCCTCCCACTGATACCATATGATGGTGCCCCATCATTAGTGTCAGTGTGTGAGGAATAGTGACCCATCCTTAGTGTCATTGGGAAGAATCGTGCCCCATCATTGGTGTCAGTGGGAGGAATAGTGCCCCATCCTTAGTGTCAGTGTGAGGAATAGTGACCCATCATTAGTGTCAGTGGGAAGAATCGTGCCCCATTATTGGTGTCGGTGGGAGGAATAGTGACCCATCATTAGTGTCAGTGTGAGGCTAATAGTGCCCCATCATTGGTGTCAGTGGGAGGAATCGTGCCCCTTCATTGGTGTTAGGGGGAGGAATAGTACCCCATCATTGGTATCAGTGGGATGAATAGTGCCCCATCATTGGTGTCAGTGGGAGGAATAGTGCCCCATCATTGGTGTTAGGGGGAGGAGATAGTGCCCCATTATTGGTATCAGTGGGATGAAGTGCCCCATCTTTGGTGTCAGTGGGAGGAATAGTGCCCCATCATTGGTGTCAGTGGGAGGAATAGTGCCCCATCTTTGGTGTCAGTGGGAGGAAGTGTCCCATCATTGGTGTTAGTGGGAGGAATAGTGCCCCATCATTGGTGTCAGTGGGAGGAATAGTGCAACATCATTGGTGTCAGTGGGAGGAATAGTGTCCCATCATTGGTGTCAGTGGGCGGAATAGTGCCCCATCTTTGGTGTCAGTGGGAGGAAGTGCCCCATCATTGGTGTCAGTGGGAGGAATAGTGCCCATCTTTGGTGTCAGTGGGAGGAAGTGTCCCATCATTAGTGTCAGTGGGAGGAATAATGCCCCATCATTGGTGTCAGTGGGATGAATAGTGCCCCATCATTGGTGTCAGTGGAAGGAATAGTGCCCCATCTTTGGTGTCAGTGGGAGGAAGTGTCCCATCATTGGTGTCAGTGGGAGGAATAGTGCCCCATCATTGGTGTCAGTGGGAGGAAAAGTGCCCCCTCATTGGTGTCAGTAACACTTTTCCTCCCACTGACACCAATGATGGGGCACTATTCCTCCCACTGACACCAATGATGGGGCACTATTCCTCCCACTGACACCAATGATGGGGCACTTCCTCCCACTGACACCAAAGATGGGGCACTATTCCTCCCACTGACACCAATGATGGGGCACTATTCCTCCCACTGGGACCAATGATGGGGCACTATTCCTCCCACTGACACCAATGATGGGGCACTATTCCTCCCACTGATACAATGATGGGGCACTATTCCCCCACTTGGATACCAATGGGGGAATTCCTCCCACTGACACCAATGATGGGGCACTATTCCTCCCATTGACACCAATGATGGGGCACTATTCCTCCCACTGACACCAAAGATGGGGCACTATTCCTCCCACTGACACCAATGTTATGGGAGGAACTTCCTCCCACTGACACCAAAGATCGTGGGCACTATTCCTCCCACATCTGACACTAATGATGGGGCACTAATTACTCCCACTGACATCAATTATACTTACATCGCTGTGCTGACTCCTGCTCCAGTCCGGGCTCCCTCCTTCAGGAACGGACATTTACCCATCAGCTGTCTTCCTTCTCCAGACGCTCTCAGTCTTCACGGCTCCAGCTGCTCCCTCACTAGATCTTCAATCTTCGCCCTGCCGCCAGCTCCTCCTCTCCAAGCTCCGTGTCCTCGCCTGTGATTGGCCGCCTGTGTGCCTTTTCTGAGCTACAGATCTGGTGGCCAATCACTGGCGAGGAGGTGGAGCTTGCAGAGGGAGGGAAAGGCCCCATCATTGGTTGCCAGTGATCACAGGGGTGTGGCCATCATTCAAAGGGGGCTTGTCATCCCCCCATCATCGCGATCAAGATCAGGAAGGATTGGAATAGAGTGCCCCACATGTGTCAGGATGGAGGAACTAGTATCCCCATCATTGGTGTCAAGATAAAATCGAAAAAGTTAAGAAAACTTGGTGTCAGTGGAGGAATAGTTTAAAACCATCCATTAGTGTCAGTGGGAGGAATAGTGATCATTGTGTAAAGTCAGGGGAAGAGACAAGTGTATTCTGCTATTATTCAGTGGTAAAAGAATCCCAATAAGTGTAGTATTGAGGAATAGTGACCCATCATTAGTGTCAGTGTGACGGTATATATACTG